ACTTGCAGCCTTTACTTAATTAGCCTTGACTTATTATTATTCTTACCATCTACGATCTCTTGTTTCATCTTTTGGAATTCTTTGCGCACTTCCTTAATGATCTCCGCTTTAAATGCCTCCATTTCTTGAGCAGTAAGCACAGCCCCGTCATTAACGCCGTTTACTTTTAGAAGAGTGTCCTCGGAAGCAGAACCAAACCTCTTGCGAACTGATTTCGGTGATTCGGCACCGTTCGAGAATTTATTATTCGACAAACTGTTCTTATCCCACGATTTCTTATCGGGCGAACTCTCAGGTTCCTATGGGAAAGCAAAGGAAGAAATATTGCAAGTTGAAATATGTTCGATAGCAATATATTTGAATAGCGAAAAAGGATATTATGACTGAAAGAAACGTACTTGCGGCTGTTCCGGTTGTTTTTTCTCAACAGCAGCTCGTCTACGAGCTAAAGTTTTCGCCATCTCATCCATCATAGAAGCCATGCCACCAGCTCCGCCCCTTCCTAGAGTGCCGTAATTCCCACTGCTTCCAGCACTTCCGCTGCTGCTAGTACTGGAACCACTATTTTCCACTGGTTGCTGCGATGCCTAAACGCGAGAATAGACATGAAAAGGAATAAAGACAAGTCAGTTGAAGGCGAGAGACGAAAGTCAAAAGACTCGAGGCAAGACGCGCACCTGCTGTTTCTTTTTGAGGCGAGTCGCTTGAATTGCAGCAGCCAACGAATTGGAATCTGGCGATGGTTCGCTGGTGGTAATGGAGCTTACGGATCCAGTGGAACCAGATGCAGAAAGAGGATTTAGGTTGGCGGCGTTGACTTTCGGGGCAGGTGGCGGAGGAGGTGGTGGAGGAGCGGCAGGTCCACCCAGCGGAATCATAGGAGGAGGCTGAGGACCGGCATTGCCAATGGGAGCATAAATATTAGGATTAACCGGTGGTACATGATGTCCAGTGGCAGGGACGGTACTGCCACTGCCAGCACTGTTCCCGCAGCTACCACCGCTGCCACCGCCACCACCTCCACTGCCGCTGTACTGATTCACCGAGTTTGATGGTGTTCCGTATGGATTCGTAGCACCCGAAACTGCCTGTATCTGGCCGCTGCCATACTGTGCTTGTGCCTGAGACACGACGCTGTACTGAGACTGATTCGGCTGGCCAACACCAACGTTCACACCTACCCCATACTGGCCCGTTGTCGCAGATCCGCTGCTCGCATACTGGCCAAGCGAGTTACTACTTCCATACTGATTTCCACCAGCACCACCCGCACCACTATTACTACCACCGCCGCCGTATTGGTTTCCTTGTCCCGGCTGACCACTAGGATACGCATTGCTAACTTGCCCGTTGTTATTATAGAAGTTATTCTGATTTCCAGAGGAATACTGACATGGACTTTGCCCGACGACAGCAACCGTCGCGTACTGACTATTGTTCGGCGTGCCTCCGTACTGATTTCCTTGACTGCTACCGTAAATCGACTGTGCTTGAGACTGATTCGGCAGATTCGATTGAGACGACGGTGATTGCGCGTACTGGTTCATCATCATCGGAGGCGGTGGTATCGGTGCGTTAAAGTTTATCATTGCCGGTGGACACGGTGGAGCTGCAGCTGCCATAGGAGGCTGAGGCGGTGGTATCGGAGGTGCACCACCGCTCGATATTTGTCCCGCGCCGGTCCCCATACCACCGGTGACTTGCATCGATTGCATGACAGTTTGCTGTTGAGGCTGGGGAGCTGGCGGTGCCGACGATGTTCTGTGATGTCCGGATTGCGGCTGTTGTTGTGGCTGCGTCTGATGTTGCTGCTGCTGTTGCTGTTGCTGTTGCGGTGGTTGTGGCGGCGCCGGTGGCTGCGGCTGTTGTTGCTGCACGGATTGTTGAGGTGGTTGCTGTTGCTGTTGAGAGGGTGGTTGTTGTTGTTGTTGTTGCTGCTGCTGCTGTTGCTGCTGTTGCTGTGATGCAAGAGGACAACTCGGGGAAATTGCGTTCGGACTATTCGTCGCTGCAAAGGAAGAAAAAAAAAGAACACACGGACTGAAAATCTGTCTTCGATTTCGCAATTCATATCAGATGTTTTATCGTTCCAACATCCAAAACCAATATCTGACAAATATTGGTTGCGTTATCGTACCTTGACTTTGCTGAGACATTCTGCGTTCTTGAATGATCGCCACGTCTTCCCTGGTCATGGTTCTAGACAACGAAATAGTACGATGAAATTTTCTCATAATTTTTCTAACTTGCAAAGTCGAAAATATCAAAGCGTGAAGGAAAAAACGAACCTGTATCCCATGTCCTCGTCATACTGGGCGTTAGTCGGTTGTTGTTGCTGAAAGACGGATTGCTGTTGGGTGACTGAGGCGGGCGCAAGGCTTCTCGATATGTTGCTCCCATTGCTCAACACCTAAGTTAAGAATATATCAAACGGTTACCAAATAATATGCATCCTGATCGACGTTGATCGATAGTTAGAAGTAGAAGCGCAACGACTGGTATACAGTACGCGTTAGCTGATGCTTTTCTTCCAATGTTCGTTTTTTGTTTCTACCGGTGTAAACTCACATCGAGCGCTTGCAGCATCGCTCTGGCAAATGCGTCGGCGTCGTCCTTACTGGAGAAATTCAGACCATATACTTGCTTGTTATCTCGCCATTGGTGAAACGTGACTGTCGCCTGATTGTACTTCAATCCCTTGAGGATCGCGCAGTTGATGACGATCTCGTGATCCTGCAACTTTCTTCCCACCACGCGGAACGTATTGTTCACCTGGTGATGATACAACTGTACTTTGGAGAGTCCTGAGGAACTGCCACTCGGTACCCATTTTTTATTAACGTCGTCATATACCATTACCGACGCACGAGCGGACGATATGCTCACTTCGCTGAAACATAAGGAGAGGCACGTTTTTATTTTTTTTATTCTATATATATATATATATATAATTTCCGTTCATTTGCATGAAATAATCGAAATGCTACCACGATCGATATTCTTCCGGAAGGGATTGTTGCGGTCGACGGGAATACGAGTATCGCCTCATCGTTTCGTTGGGGGATCGCGTGAGTATTTGCCGAACTCATACGATCATCGATCAAGGAACCAAGGCGAGAATTTCGTTACGTTTCGGTCTCACTTTCACCGTGTGCCACGGGCCGCGTTTTAATAACAGCGCACAGTCGTTTTCGCGAAATGAGAACAGAACGAAACGGAATACTAAAAGATACTGCCACTTCCTTCTTTGCTCAGCGTGCGATCAGACAAGCCTGGCTCGAGATAAGAGAGCCGGAGAGTAGTATCCGCGATACGCGTTGGCTTTTTCAGTTTCACCGTGTTCGTTGTTCCGTGACTGTTTCCGAAGTTTATTACGAGCATACGGATTCATAAATGATCGTCGGAACAAGAAAATATCGAAGCGTTCGATTTTATATATATATATATATATCACGCAGGAAGCGATCTTGATAATAAATCTCTAATTACAAAATACGAAAATTGATAATAAAGCGTTGCGTGCGATTAAACGTAGAGAAATCTCGGAGAAGGAAAATTTAACTTAAATGACATCTACGTGTAGTTAAAAAATCTCTATCCTTTCGCGTTATTTGCGTGCAAGTGGCAGAACAGAGGTTCGCGTCACTAGCCTCTCACGATCATGTTACGGTGTAACCCTTTTAAAACGATTCCCTTTCTTCTTGTCTTGTGTTAACTCACTCTTCTCACTTTTCTCCCTCTCTCTCTCTCTCTCTTTCTCTTAGAACAGCAGATGCTTTCAGTTTCTAAATCTAATTAAAATATAAAGCAAAATTTGGCGTCAAATTGAGGAGAGAGAGAGAGAGAGAGAGAGAGAGAAAAAAAGAAAAGCATACGTGCGTTTAGACATTAGGGTTTAGCCAAGTGCAAATTGCTTCAAACGTGAATCATAATGTGACTCACTGATCGGCATAAGTATGTTATCGGGTAAATTCATTGATATCTTTTTTACTGTGAAATAGTAGAAACGTGTGTCGAGGTGAATGAATCAATGATGATCGCAATGTTGCCCGTGTCACTGATATTTATTTACTTCATTAGGATTTCGTACGAAACGGAAGAGCATTTTTTGCAAGGAGGAACGATCGAGAACTTGGAAACTATCGAAAATTTCCATCCGCGATAGAAACTATATATAACAACGTACGTGCAGCAGAACCCTCGGCTAACATAAACAAATATCCAGGCAATGAAATTTTTTCGTCTAACGCCAGTTCATTTCGGACGTGTGTAGGTGGGTTTGGATAAGGATAATCCGCAGGAGCGTGAATAATGTTTTGCCCGGACGTAAAAGGGACACGGTACGAGCAAAAGCAGTAGAAAGAAGTTCCGTTCACGATACACAAAGGCGTCGAGACGCAAGATTTGGAGGCATATCTCCGAAATATCATGCGGCAAGCAGCACTGGAAAAGAGAACCGACGAATGTGCGTGAATAGAATACTCGATTAGTAGGGATGCAACCGGCGAAGGCGAAAGATCCGACACGTTTCACGATACACGATAAGAGGGAATAATCGTTTGGATGACTTCTACAGGCGCGTACAGGTCCTTTTTCGAAAAGTTTGAACGTCGAACACAAGCATTACGGTTTTCTATCCAAAGACAATGGGAATATATCAGTAGCGGAGGGTAGTGAATAAATATTCGAATTATTGAACGTATCTGCCGGCAAGCCACGGGATAAACAACAGTGGTCAGGGACGAGGAGAAGCGGTGCTTTGAACCCGAATGTACCGAACTCGGCTCGATTTTGTACGACTCGACCATCTCTCTCACTCGATGCTGTATCGTATACGTGGAACTTACTTCATGTTTGTTTGACTCGGAAGCGTATGCTATGCCTTCATGCAAGCTGTATTCCTGCTTCTGCACAGTATGTCACCGATTCCATGAAAACACGCGAGATTCGGGCAGGATTTGCGGTAGTTCGACATAAATAACGTACGGCACTAACACCACCCCGACACCCTACCTATGCACATCTAGCCAGCCATATTGCCGACCGACTCCAGGCCCATACTCCTACCACCTTTCGTCGCGATGCACACGTCTATCTAGAGGGAATACTCGAATTGCAAGCGTTGGTACACTCTACCATTTCTTTCTTTTTTTTTTCTTTTCTACTCTCTCTTGCTCCCTTTCTCTCTCTTTTTTTTTCACTTATTTCGCTTCTCCTGCACCTTTTCCTCTCCATTCGCAAGAGAAAGAAGAATGAAAAAGATGGAAAATTTCGGTAATGTAAGTTAAATCGACTCGTTCTACTTACGATTCGTCTTAATTCGGCCGACAAGGTCTAATTATTCGTCTCTTAAAAAAAAGAAAAAAAAAAAGAAGAAATGGAAAAGAGTTATTCGCTCTGGAAGCAAGTATGAATCCCGACTAGCGATCATTGAAATATTACGCAAATTCGATAATTCGATTATCGATCAAAGAAATTTGACTTCAGAACTTATCGTTATCGATTTATCGAGTGTTAATCGACGAATTTGTGATGTGATTACAATGACGCAACAAACGTAAGAGTATCGAGCGGTTTTGAATCGATTATTTCTAGAATGTCCTAGATCGGGATTCTTTGGGAAAAAGTTGAAACTGAAGGGGTTCAATGAAATGAAACAAAAAACACCTATCTGTTGATCCGTATAAAAAAACTAACCTGTTAACGCGTACGAAAAATAAAATATGTCGGTTTTACAAACCGTGACGTTACATGAATTTTATCAGTTATTAACAATAATAATGGCGACTGACAGTTTGTCATTTAATAACACAAGCGATTTAATCCGGAAGGACGTGGAATGCATCAGTTCCGTTATTGCAGAGAATTCGAAATGGACGAAATTTGGGATTCGTACGAACCGCTAGGCGAGATTAATGGTAACGTTGAACATCAGATGGCGCGACAATTTAAGTTCCACTTGAATACACGGGAGTTTCCACGGGCCCCTGTCGCCGACGCACCTGGCGCATCGACCGAGAAACAGAAACAGCTGTCTGTTCGAAGCAACTTGGGAGAATATCGTCCGTTAATCGTCGATAGAGAACCGTGTGGATCTTCGTTGCGTTATTCGTGGAATGTGAAGTAACGAAGTCTCAGGGTATTGTGCCTGTCATCAAACGCGTACCAGCCTGCCCCTTGCTTCACCGCTCTTTACCGCTTTAGGCGGTTGCTTCGATGATAACGTGCTTGCCTTTTATTTTTCCGATTTCTACGATCCGGAACGTTTCTTCCCCCTTCCTCTCTTTCCCTCTTGCTCTTTCCGTCTCCCCACTTACTCATTCTCGCGCTCTCTCGTCACTCTGCCTCTCTCTCTCTCTCTCTCTCTCTCTCTCTCTCT